ATATATATATATTAAAAAAATAAGTATTATATAATGAAATTAGTGTTTATCTATCTTAACTCTTAAAAATTAAAATGAAAATTATTTTAAAATTAGGTAGTTTAAATAAAGTATTACATGAAAAGATAAAAAATACTTTAATTCATGGTTTAAAAATAAAATATTTTTGTTTTTCTCAATGAAAATTTTTTGAAATGACGTAATTTTATGATGATTTTTCTCTTAATTTTTAAGAGATAAGTCAGATATGCACTATTCTTTTATATAATTCAGAACAACTCAAAATGTTTAAACTGTAAAATTTTAACTATTAAATAAAAATATCCCTTGATATTAAGAGTTTTTTTTATTTAATAATTTTTATTTAATAATTTAATATAATTTAAATATAAAATAAAAAAATTCAATAAAAAATACAGATTTGATTGTTCAACTTAATTTATTTGATAGTAGCAAAAAAGTGTTTTTCTTGTTTGTTTTGTTCAATCGGTAAAAAATAATGCTATATCGGTAACTTTTTAAAAATAAATTTTACATATAAATTTTATATATTATTAAATAAATATGTATATTGTTAATAAAAAATATCACTCATTACATATTATACAAAATTATAAAAAAAAAATTATCTTCCAATCGTTTGCCAATTGCAAAACATTAACCTCTTTTTTTTTGGTAAAAAAAATATTAACCTCTTTACTCTTATCAAGTTTGATAGATTAATGATTTGTTAGTTTGAGTGGAAAAAATTTAATTTTTATTAAATAAGATTTTAAATTTAAATTTTATAAAAAGAAAAGTAGATGTTAAAAATATTTTTCATTATGGATATGATATAATTTAATTTTAAATTAATAAAAACCTAATCCAATTATCAGATATTAAAAAATTAATAAAAAAAAATAAAATCTGATATGATAGATCCAACTAATCATAAAACTAAAGTATTTTTTAGTCCATACAAAACAAAATGCAAAACACCACCCTCGGGTCTGGGCTTTCACCTGTCCCATCCAATTGGTTTTGGTCCCGTTTAAAACAACGGAAAACACGAAGACTCTAGTATTACGAGAATAATCTTTGCTGATCCCCTCTAGAACCAAGAGGAAATGGTTTAACAAAACAGAATCATTAGAAATGGAATCCTGTTTACAGGCAAGCAGCTTTCTGATTTTCAATAAATTTTAAGCAACAATCATGAATTATTACTAATTTCTCATCCTGAATTTGGTATTTCCCTCTCTTATGAGTTTGCATGATGAAGATTGAAGAACTTTAATCAATAATATATCAGCGTTCTTATTTTCTGAAAGACGCGTGTGTTTGTTTCTGTATGTCTTGATGTTAACTAATTGCAACGAGCTGGAACTGACACGTGCATTTTCTGAGGCTCTGAATTTTTTAGTATTTTGGAAGATAAGTACCTTATTTTGATTTATTCAGATCATCTTTTACACTTTTGAAACATACCCACCTCCCTTTTTTAGATTGGTCACCAGGAACCCATTTGCCTCGTTGTGTGGAAAATATTATTGTAACAAAGATTGAGTCAGATTTGTTTGTGTTCTTTCTTGTTGTCTTTTGTTAAAAGGGTAATGGGGTAGGTTTGCTTAACCCAATCATGTTGGTATGAAAGGAAATTGCACCTTACATATTACATTAATCGCGGGAGGATTAGCAGCCTCCTTATTTATGCAAGGTCTCTGTAACATAGCCACACTCATAACAGTAACAGCAATCACTAATAAGACATTCCTTAAAAACATGACAAAATCATAATTTTGTAGTGATCATGGATGATGATCAGAAGTCGAAAACCCATGCTTGAATGCTGATTCTGCCTCTTAAAGCTCCAGTACCAGGTCTGCAAACACAAGAAAAAAGAAAAAAGTAATCAGGATTACCACTAGGAAATTCAAATCAAAGTAAAAATATGTATATTCCCAGTAACCACAATTTAATTAATATGTTTGTTGTAGCAGTCACACTTACAACTGGTGTAAGTGTTGAAGTCTTACACTTTTTATCATATATTGATTTTAAAAATCCAACAGCTGAGCTGATGGAGATATATAATCTAATAATATCAACATTATGTTATTAAATTACCAAATATATAACCATGATCTCGACTGTTGGATTTGTTAAATGCATGGCTGTTAATAGTCTAAGTTGATGCTGCCCCCTCTCTTTCTATATATATATAGAGTAAGCACACAAGTTTTACATAAAATTTTAACAATTCATTTCTCTTCTTTCAATAGTTGAGATTTGTCACAATTTTTTTAGGTAGAAAAGATAATTATCTTTAATAAATATGAATAAATCTCAATTATTGAAAGTGAAAAGATAAATGGTTAAGATTTGGTATAAGTATAGTGTGTAAAATACTTATATATAAGCATAGATATTAAAAATAAAGAAAATGATTGATACACCCTCTGATTCAACATACTTATAATAATACCTACTGGTTTAGTCATTAAAATTTGTCTTTGAATATTTTCCCGCTTTGAATTCAAATTTAAAATTATTAATTTTTTAATGACTAAACCAATAGATATTGTTAAGTGTATTGAATTAAAAAGTATACCAATCATTATCCTAAAAATAACTATCTTTTTCACCTAAAAAGTTATTAGCAATCTCAACTATTGAAAGTGAAAAGATGAATTATCAAGATTTTATATAAATGTGATATGTAAAACTTGTGTGTGAATGAATTTTCATTTATATATATATAAAAGTGTGGGCTTGCATTGTGCTTTGGAAACATAAATGTGTCTATACTTACAATCTGCATCTGTTTTAATCCAATACTCCCTGTTCCCACTTGAATCATTGCAGCCAAGCATGACTTGAGGTGGGTCAGATTGACTCTTGTAGGACGGTATGTTATCTTTTGAAAAGGCTCTCTGAGGATATACCATTATATCCTTGTCTGCAAGCATCTGACCTCCATTGTTGTGTCCATCATACCAGTTGTTCTTCTTGTTCTCATATTTTTGGTGCTTGTCACACTTCTGACTGACTGTTGAGCTTTCAGGATGAACTTTTCTGTGGAAAATCTGTAAGATCTACACAACATAACTAATAGAGTGAGTGAACTACACCATAAGTTCATAATAAGAATATCAAACACAAAAATTGACACTCATAAACAATAAAAGAGTTGGTTGAGGTGAAATATATATATATATATATATCATTTTTACATGTTCTAAAGAAAAGGTTTGGAAAAGAACAGAGAAATGGAGGAAAATGAATCCTGGGAAACCGCTACATAGATATTTAATTTAAAGGTCTTTTTATAGTCTGATATTTGTCAATGTTTCAATGCTAAGGATCATATTCATATGACTGCAGCTAGGAAATAACTACTGGAACTACACTTACTTTTTTCTTAGCAACAATATGAATTATTTGAAATGATCTTGGCGAGATTTTAGCAACAAAGAGATTGATATGATATATAGCTGGTGTTGTGTTTATGGATGTACCTTGTGGAGTTTTGTTTCTGCAGAAGTAGAATCAATATTTCCACCAGCAGCTGCAGCAGAGCTCCTAGAAGCATGGAGCATTTTTTTCTTCAACATTTTCTTCATGATATGAACAGCAGATTTGTCAGCTTCCTTCTCGGTTCTCTTGTCATCTTTCTCACATTTTCCTCCAGAATTTTCTTCTGCTGTTTTAGTCCTCTGGAACAGCTCTCCCAATGTTGTCCTGTGTTCCTTTTTTGCCACGGTAGTTGTTTCTGACAATTCAATTGCTGACCCAAAAAGATATCCTTGGAGTGGACAGACTGTAGTTCCATTCACATTGGTATCTGGACCTTCAAGTGGCTTTCCACTAAGTGTAATGGTGCTGCCATGGCTGCTTCTTCCAGTGCTAACATGGCTGTTTCTCCTAGATGAGTCGTTGTAACCGTCTTCTTTTGCCTCAGCTCCCAGAACTTTCTCCAACTCATCATTAATGAGCTTCAACTCATTCTCTGTTATTTCAGTTTCTTTTTCAGTTATGTTGTCAACAGAGATGGCAAAGGTTGGTGTTGATGGGTCGGTGATATTAGGGTCTGAACCAAGGGTGCCAATGGCTAGGAAGCCATGGAATAGGTCAGATATTGCTGCTGACGGTTCTTCATAGTCGTCTTCTTCTACTTGTGTTGCCTCTACACCTGCAAAAGATCTTCGACGGCTGTCTCTCTGAGGTTGTCTGAACGGTTTTGCGGGCTTTGGGTAGAATTGATGGTCATCTAGTGATGGCTGCCCTGCAAGACAAGCACAAGAGTGCCCTGACACAGAATGTTAATGAAGAGAAAACTTGTATATGGGGAAGGTAAATTGTAGGAAGAGGTTCTGGCATAACATCTCATCTCCCTATCATTACAGTTTTAGTTTAGGAGAGACCATCACATTATTCAATTTTTCTGTAACTATAGTTCTATAAGCGAACTTTTGGTTCTTAGGTCTATATTTTCATTTAATATGTAGTTGTCACAAGAAGAGTATGGCGTTCAAAAAGTCTTTTTGGTTTGTTATTGTGTCTACGATCTCTAGAAGAACATATCAGGTTATTGATGATTATGTACATTTCATGGCAGATATCAGTGCCATGAACTCCAGCCTTCTATGTAGGCGTACAATCTGCAGGGATTTCTTAGTAGAAATAGCAGAATGAGACTTACCAACAGAAAAATCCTTCAATAGTTCATTGTTATTTTGGCGAAATTTTCGATGCATCCAACCTAGTAACTGCATAAGAAAGGAGAGAACAATTCAGCAAACAGAATTGGCGAATATCATTTTCCCCAAGTATAACAAAAAGGCCCAAATATATACCTTCATCCTGCTCTTTTTAGAAAACTGATCTCTGTTCTCCTACTGCAAGAGATGGATGGAGGAAGAGCCGCTTAAAACATTTGAGCTGTACTGTTTATGAATGTGATGTAAATTGGTTCCTTTAAGCCTCTTATCATCTGAGATGAGGATGGCTGGAGAGAAACACAAAGGTCATTACAAGAATTGGGCTGGCTATTGATTGTTAAGATCAAAACCATGTGGCCAAGCATAGGGGTGGGGTCCTAAATACCATGAACCTGGTTTATTATTTTAAATGACTCGTACACTCATGTTCGTGCGCATGGAGATTTGCAGGTTCTATATTCTTTTTCTCTTTTTGATTGTGTAATTTAGCATTTGATTTATATGCTTAGAAATCCTTTCCATTGTGACGAGTTGTGCCATGTTGATATGCTCAATATGAAGACGCAATTATAAGCAATTGTAGTTGTGATAGATGACCTTGGGGAAGTGTGCCAATGTGCCATGTTGCATGTTACCATTCTTTCCACTGTGATAAGTTATGCCATATGAATTTTTGGCGCTTTGGAGCTGTTTTTTAATTATTTTTATTTTTTTACCATAAATAGTTTAATTGTATTTGGTGGAACTATAGTTACAGATTGGATGTAGAGACTATTTTTATGGAAACCAGTGGGTTCAGAAGTAAACTGATAATGAAAGAGATCAGTTCTCATTTACATGGATACAGAAAGTTTGTCTCCTGATGCTTTTTGGCTGGCCCACTATAGTATGAGGTATTTCAATTATGGTTGAATGGACCATTATCTGAAAGGATTAATGATTTTCTTTGACAAATACCTTCATAGTTAATGTATTAAACGATGTTAAAGTTTGTATTAAACGATGTTAAAGTTTGTATCTCACTTAATATCTAAAGTACCTTTCTCTTACTTCAATCCATTTGAATGCTTTGGATGATTGAATTCCAAGTGACTCGTAATCTTTGTAGGCTTGTCTGTTTCAGCTACTAATGGTTTATCTTTTACAAACACTGAATAGTGATATATATAGGAAAAGCTTGCTCTTCAAGATTTGCATTTAATTAGTCCCTCTGACCTGATTTAGTTTTATTACTTAGTAAAAAGTGGTGATCTAAGGTAGTTTTCATTCTCCATATCCAAGAAGGCATTGAGTACTTTTATTTCAATTTTAGTTTTGTTGAAAGTTTTTAATTAGTAACCTTAATTGTCAAAAGGTTCTAAAAGTTTAATCTTTATAATAGAGGAATTATAACCGATCCTAATCAATTGATGTGTGGATTTTGTGGGGATAACATCGAAGATGCCAATCATCTTTTCCTCCACTGTAGAGTTGCTTTTTCGGTAAGGAGCAAAACACAAGCCCCCTGCTAAAGATCCTGCAGTGAGAGCTGGCTGGGATGTGATATGGTTCTCCACTATATGGTCTTTGTGGATGGCAAGGAATGCTAAAAGTTTCAGAAACCATGAGTATGATGCAGATGGAATTTTTGAGCTTGTACAACTAAGAGCTTTCATTTGGATTAAGGGCAGGACTACGGGATACTCGTTCAGTTTGCACGATTGGATGCTAGAACCAATCTTAAGCCTTAAGGATAAAAGAGATTAGACACATAATCTCACAAGTGGGAAGTTTTTGGGTGGACAAAGCAACCTGGGTTTGACAGTGATATATGATGAAACTGCAAAAGAGGACAGAAATTCGACACAGTGTCAACACATAATATTGGTGTCAACACCATATGGTAAGCAGCCAAAACTCCAACACGAATGGGGTGCTGACACATAATTCAGGGATCGATACCATACGAAAAGCTATCCTACTCATGTAATATGAACCCTTTCAAGTTATGATGTTTATTGGTTTGGGGTACCCTTTGTACTCTGTTTATTAATAAATATTATTTTTGTTGTTCAAAAAAAAAAAAGTTCTAAAAGTTATAGGGGTAAAAATAGAATTTCAAGTAGTAATAATTGTATTTTTTACGTATTAAATGAGTTTTTCCTGCAATCACAAGAGTTAATTTTGATAACTAAATTAGACTAAAGGGAGTGACATTTTAGCATATTTTGGCATATGTAATCATTATTATTGAATTTTGGTATGCCCTAAATTCAAGAAATTTTACTCAATATGAAATACAAATTTAAAATATATGAAGTCAGATCCCTACAATATGGAAATTATGAGTCTACTGTCCATGACATCGTCTTTTGTACAGATCCTTAGAAGTACAGTTAATGGTTTGAACTTGTTATCTGGTTAGACTTTTGTTTTTGTGTTTAGATTGAAGCTCTAGGTGCTTGCTTGCAATTGAATTTCAGGTTTGATCCTGCATTCGGATGATACTTGTAGTTGTTGTTTGATGTTCCATGCATTTCGATGCCATTGTAATCTAAGTGGCATTCAGTGCAAGGTAGATCTTTCATCTAAACAATTCCTAATTCCATAAAAAAAGAATCAAGATAGATGATACCTGTAGTCTCTTTCCTCTTTTCATTCTGTTTTTGATTCTGAGTAATAGGTTTTTATGTGCAAGATGATGTAGACAAGCTGACAAAACAAACAGATCTGGAAATGAAATCATTCTGACAAGAATGTATACGCTAAGCATCTATGTTGGACGATTAATAATTGATGCATCTGTTGATTTAATATACATTACATTATATTTATTAAAAAATTATTATTTTTAAATTTAAAACTAAAATGAGAAAAATTCTACTTTAATGGTTAAATGAGTAGATATTGATAAATATATTAAATCAAAAAATATACTTATTATTATCTATAATGAAAATGGTCAAATAATGTAGAGTGCAGGGCCCGATGAAATTATGTGCTATCTTGTTATGGGTAGCCAACATGGAACTAGAATACGAACTCTTGGGCAAACTTTCCTGTTAAAGGCATGACGCTTAACCAACCCTCTAGGGGACACTAAAAGGTACGTTCATTGCCAATTGATATTTTCTATCATTAAGTGTCGGCATTTAGTCCCCTACTGTGATGTGAATTTGTGTTGGACATATTGTTATGGTGATATTTGTCATGATGCTAACTAATTCAATTTGATTAAAGCAAAATTTTATTAAAAGCGAGAGGATTCTTCCAACCAGAACATTCAAGAATCAGGCAAGCATCGAGGGTCATGCAAGTGGTGCATGCTGGCTCAATGGTCATGTTGATTATATTTCATGATTGACCGTCAAACTCATTGACATGTGGTGCAAAATGGGTGCATGCCTACCTGTCTTGTGGATATGGATATGGTGCTAGGGTTAATTGATGCCTAACACTTGTGTGGCCATGAATTTTGCAAATACAGGCGGTGCAAGAAGGAGACCTATCGGGTAGTGACTGCCACCAATTCAGGCTTAACAATTAGGTGAGCACTTCTGAGACTACCCATGCTGTAATCACTTTGAGTTCCAGTTATTTTCTATCTGGCTTTCATGTCGAGCTCTACTGAAATATTTTTACAAGCTATTTCACCTCCAAAATTCAAAGGAATTTAACATTAGGTTAGGGTTTTGTTCAATCCAAGAAGTTCTCTGATGAAATATGTTCACGCTAGGGTTTAGTTTTACCAAAACTGCCATGCCCTTGATACCTAAAATAAATGGTGTCACAAACATCTTGTTCTGCACAATAGAATTCATCAATGCATTTTTCATTTCACTGTAACTGTCAAATCATTCTACAACACAAGATTGCTCTTATGCATCTAATAGTTTTGTTTATGGTAGCAAATTCTATGATTCTAAGTTTTACCGCTGAAATTTGTAATGCCTGTATCTAAATATTTGGTAAATCAAAGTTTCAGCGACTTAAAATTAAAAAAAAAAAAAAAAATTAGAAAGAAGACGTGAAAAGTGGGTTAATTTATTTGTCTGTGTGAAATAGTATATTAATAGGCCTTGGACAAGGAGATGGCCCCCTGATTTTTGTTCCTAGCAAGGAGCAAGTAAAAAGTAGCACTTGTACAATAATTATCTATCTTCATCTTCAGTTGATTTTGTTCCAATTTAGTCAATCAAACGTCTAATCCAACATCATTTCTTTTGATTCCTTTAAAATATCTCAGATGATTTTTTATTTGTATGCGGAAAAGCTGGTTTGACATTACATTTTCTAAGTCGGCAGTGCACAAAATGCTTGAAGATTCCATTGAAATGGCAGCCTGGGCTAGTGAACTTATGTCAAAAGCCCATTCAAGTCACAGAGTGTAGGTGAATCAAATCCTTGCTTCATTACCTATTTAAAAAAAAAAAAAAAAATCCTTGCTGTCCATCTTACTGTATTCTTTGGATAACATAGACTCTGACTCTATTGGCTTGATTAATCATCACATATATTTATAAAATATCTTATTTATATGTATCTAACAAAATTTTATATTTAAAAATAATAAACATAATTTAATAAAATTGTTTGCAACCAAAATAATACTAATACTCAAATCTATGTTCTTAAGTATAGTTCTCATCCATTCTTACCGCTTAATACAACCCCAATGGGTTAGTTGTCCATCTTCCTGCTAGCATTACCTAGCATTTCATGTTATGTCACTGATGAAGACTGATTGTGCATTTGAATTCTTTGATTATTTCTATATTTATTTTATATACGTGTGTAATACTTATCGATATAAATTAAAAGCAATCTTTTTGCTTAATCAAAGGTATCATTCTAATGATTTGTCAGCTTAAACCCTTGGTCCCAATATTGTGACCCATTTGAATCATGATAATCAAGTACATCTCTTCGTGATCCAATCTCTTTGTTTTCTTCCTTCTTAAATATTCTTGTAAAATGTAAATTAGTCCCTTTTTTTTTTATCAACAATAAATTTATTATTAAGTACAAAGGCCACTTTTTTTTATCCAATTATTGTCTTCTTTTTACTATTTTAAGTGAATTATTTTGAGTACAAGAGCACTTAAATATTCTTGTAAATTAGTGCTGATAAGATTAAAGTATTATTATTATTATTATTATTATTATTATTATTATTATTGATATATTAAGAGTTAACTGCTTAGTATCATAAAAATTTAAATCTTAAACTTCCCTTTT